AGCAAAGTTGTAGCTGGGAAAATTTCCTACAAGTACAGTTGAAAGCTTTTTAAGAAGACCGATATGGTGAATTACTAGATAGACATGAACAAAAATCTTGGTTTTACTATAGTAATTCCCATACAAACTTCAAATAATTTGTGCCATCTCAGTTTCTCACCAAATGGGTTCAAATTTTGAGAGGTTAGTCAGGATCCGATTCGGAATCGTTCTTTTACGTATTGTGGAGCGAAAATTTCAAATTTTGCATCACTCTAGTAGGTATTCTCTATCAAATGGTGTAGTTAGTTTGCGTGGACGTGTTCCCGAGCAAAGTAAAATAACAACCTGATATCATCTTGAAAACAAATCTTGTTATTCCAGATATCATTTTGTTTTCAGTTGTTATCGCATAACTAATTTAGTTATCAACCTCGACTAGTTCTGTTATCATTTGTTATCATGAAAGCATATGAAATAATGCATGGTTAGTTCAAAGCTTTAAATATCATTTGCATGGTATAAAAATAAACACTGCCAGTCATATTTCAGTTATCAGCGTACCATCGATAAAATAATTTGAAATGTGTTGACAAAATTTGCATTTTGTTACAAGATGTTTTCAATGATAACTAAATCAGTATTTTTTGTGGTATCCAAGGAGTATTCTTTTGTTATAATTTTTGTTATGTTGGCTGCTTATTCAACCACGTTGACAACATGTTCAGTTATCAAATCTCGATAACCGGGTATAAGAACTTGTTATCAATTTGGAATAATCCTTTGCTCGGGTTGTGATTCATGTACAATCGACGTTTAAAGCCATTGTTTACATTCGGCACATAGAACATTATCACATGTTGCTCTAGAAGTAATAGTCCGAAGTATAGTCGCTATATTCATAGTCTGGCGGATAGAATCTCGGAAACCAACTGAGCTGTCGAATAGTCGCTATTTGGCTGCCAAGATATTGGAAACTTTCGACCTTCTCCACTGCTTGCCCCACTACCGTAAATTTGGAAGGGTTGCCCGTGTTGATATCCAACGATTTGGTCTTGTTGACGTTGATGGTGAGACCCGCCGCAGAGGAGCGTTCGGCTAGGTCATTGAGCTTACTCTGCATATCAGAGCGCCGTTGTGCTAGTAGAGCAACATCATCAGCCAAATCGAAGTCGTTGAGATGCTCCATGGTGATAGGCTGCCAAAGCAGCCCACGGTTCGGTACACGGTCAATTGCACCTACCATGATCTCGTCGATTACGATGAGAAACAGTAGCGGTGATAGTATACATCCTTGTCTCACACCAGCGACTACCCGGATAGGGTCGGACAAGGCTCCGTTATGCAGAACTCTGCACGTGAAAGCCTCATACTGCGCTTCGATGAGGTTGACGATTTTATACGGGACTCCCTTGCGTCTCAGGGCGCCCCACAGATTCTCGTGATTGAGACGGTCGAAAGCTTTTTCGTAGTCAATGAATACCAAATAAAGGGACTCTTGGAATTCATTGACCTGCTCCGGATGATGCGGAGCGTGACAATATGGTCCACACAAGATCTTCCGGCACGGAATCCTGCCTGCTGCCGTCGGAGAGTCGCGTCGATCTTCTCCTGTATCCGATTCAGGATAACTTTGCACAGAACTTTGAGAACAATACACAGTAACATGATGCCTCGCCAATTGTCGCACACAGTCAGATCCCCCTTCTTTGGGACCTTCACTAAGATGCCCTGCATCTCGGCCGGAAAAGTCGCGGTGTCCCAGATATTACAGAATAGTTGATACAACATTTGTGCGGATAGCATGGGGTCAGCTTTGAGCATCTCTGCTGATATGCGATCGACCCCTGGAGCCTTGTTGGATTTCATGCTTCGAATAGCTGCTTCAATCTCCTGCAGTGATGGGGCCTCGGAATTGACGCGAGTGATGCGCTGCACCCTTTTACTTTTTCGCTCCACAGTGCTTAAATGGTTTCAAATCGGGTCCTGAGCAGCCTCCCAAAGTTAAATCTCATTTGGTTAGAAACAGACTTCGCACAAGCCATTTGAAGTTTACATGTAAATTACTATGAGAAATCTCAACTTTTTGTTCATTGCCTTCTAGTTTTTTCCCATATTAAGCTGCAAAACAGTTTGATACCCATTCTTATTGAAAATTTTCTCAGCTACAACTTTGCTGAAGATTGTTTCTATGTAAAACGAGACAGGAAAAAGTTATTAATTATTTAAGAGATTGGTAAACTTATGACATGATCAAGCAGCTGCACTGTATTTTGCAGTGTGACATAGTAGCCATGATTGTTGTGTCCTATTCAACGCCCCAGAAACACCAATGTTGCCTTTTTGCCATTGCCATTTCATAAGACATCAGCGCATTGAACCATTGATAACTTTCGATCCTTGCAATTAATCAAAAAATGGTCTTCAGCAAAGTTGTAGCTGAGAAAATTTCCTACAAGCAAATTTGAAAGCTTTTGAAGCAGACCGATATGGTGAATTATTAGATAGACATGAACAAAAATCTTGGTTTTACCATAGTAATTCCCATACAAACTTCAAATGGTTTGTGCCATCTCAGTTTCTCACCAAATGGGTTCAAATTTTGAGAGGTTAGTCAGGATCCAATTTGGAATCGTTCAAGTATTGTGGAGCGAAAATTTCAAATTTTGCATCACTCTAGCGTCCAATCTTCTAAATTAGCAATTGTAGTGAAAACTGTGACATTGATTTATTAGGCTAGCATGTTACAAAAAGGTAAGTCCTTTCAATTCTTGAAATTATCAGGTTTTTTGATGGCCACCGCTGTTTAGATTTCGCATAGAAATCGAAAAATAAGAAAATTTCACTTATATTTTTCTTTAAAATAGAGCAATAAATGTACTAAATTTGTCCCAACACTAGGCAATTTTCTTACGGATTACAATTTCACAGCGGATGTGGTATTAGCTTTTCATTTCTATTGTGTATTATTGCTAAATAAATTAGTTATTTGCTTGATAGGCCGAAGTGAGGGGCTAGGCTGACATTACATCCCGTAACCCTAATCCCAAACGTTGTGGTAGATATCAAAATCTACAAAAACTTCGTACATAGTTTTACGAAATTCTGTTGATGAAAAACAGTTAGAGGCAAATGAATGTAAATGATTGTCCATTAGACTGATGCAAAATTTGAAATTTTCGCTCCACAGTGCTTAAACAGTTCCAAATTGGGTCCTGCTTAGCCTCCCAAAATTTGAACTACTTTATTAAGAAAGTGACTTCGCACAAACCATTTCAAGTTTATATGGGAAAACTTATTTTTTCGTCCATATGTATCTAACAATTCACCACATCACTATGCTTTTAAAAATGATAGCAGTGATTGTAGAAAATTTTCCCAGCTACAACTTTGTTGAAACCCATTTTTCAATCAAATGTAATGAACAAAAGTTATTAACGATTCAAGTCACTGATGTCTTATGATTATGCTCATTCAACTGTTCAGCAGGCAACATTGGTGTTTCTGGTGAGAATAATAGAGCACAAATATCATGGCTACTATGTCACACTGCAGAATACAATGTTGCTAACAGAACAACTGCTTGATCATGCCATAAGATTAAACAATTAATAACTATTTAATTTGACATTTGGCTGAAAAACGATATTCCGCAAAGTTGTAGCTTAAAAAAATTCCCATAAGAATAGTTATAGAACTTTTCGAAAAAGCAATATGGAAAATAGATAGTAGATAATGAACAAAAAGTTTGGTTTTTCCATGGTAATTTCCATATAAAGTTCGAATAGTTTGTGCCAAGTCAGTTTCTTACCAAATGAGTTTAAATTTTGGGAGGCTAATCAGGACCTGATTTGAAACCGTTTGAGCACTGTGGAGCGAAAATTTCAAATTTTTTATCAGTCTATTGTCCATGCTAATTGATATATAAATCATTAAAATATTGCCTACTGCCAACGAATCTGAGAAAAAAAAACTACTATTTCTCAATCCACGGGCCGTGACCCACAGGTTTTTACATATGGCCCAAAATATGTTGGCGCTTCGCTGGCCATTTCGATGTTTTAAGATCATGATGATTTAGATTTGTGGTTGGAACAACGATCTGAAACTTCTGAATATGAAAAATCGATATTATTTTGGCAAATCATTACAAAAGAACAGTTCACAATGTGGAAGACTAGAACACTAATAAATATAACCTAACCTTCAAATTTATAATGTATAATAAACAACCTACAATTTAAGTTATGTTAAAGTTTATTAATTACTCCCTAATTTTTAAAATCCTGGTTATTTCAAGGTTTTCCCAGCACCAACGACTAGTTGAAGCATTGAATCTATGGAATGCATGTATGGTCTGGTGTGATCATCCTGGCGCTTTCAATTGTTTAAGAAAAAAAAACATCGCGCAGTGGAAAATTTACGCAGCCCGAAACTCACGATGAACGCTAAAATGGTTCAATTATCACATCAGGTATAATAAAGATGTAGAAAATTAACATCCACTTCACAGCAGTGGATGTCCCTAGTTAACCTTTTCAAGCTCTGTTTTGTATGATATGCATTAAAACGAAAATATACCACGCGAACTGATTTTGAAGTTCCCAAAAAAACTGTCTCAAGTACCGAAACCAGTCATCAAAAATCAACACAACTCAAATTAGTCCGTCACCGCATCCAATCCATTCTGCTGGACCGAAAAAAACCCCTCCGTATCTTCCCATGTAGTCATATTCAACAAAACCGAAACGAAATTGGGTCAACAAACAGAACGCCGACTGCAGTTTCCAGTCTGTCACAGTCTTCAGTTCAGTCCCGGACCTACCCACCGCTAGCAAATGCATTTCAAAAGCCCACAACTATCGGGAAAACCAAATACGTCCCGATTTTGGTCGGGGGCTGCTTCCGAGATAGCAACAGCAAAACCAGAAGGTCACAAAACAATTGATTATTTATGCAGCCGTGAATTTCGTGCCGAGGAACACGCCGGAGGAGTCGGGGGTGAAATAACGATTTTTTACCTTGCTACGTCTCCTTCTCCACCGCGTTGTTGTTGGATGGATGGCAGCTGACGGCTCCGACGACGACGACGAAGCTGTGTTATGCAATTAAGCTGCGGGGTAATCCACTCTCAACTCGGCGTCTTTCCCGGATGGAGAGGCCCTAGGGATGAATCTTCGCCACGCCAGAAAGTGCCTTCCTTCCTTATTTTTCCCGCACTTTACCGGAAGCACGATATTAGAGTACCTCCTCGGGAAGAAGCTTCCTGTTGGCGTTGTAGATCCTACAAGGAGGCTTTCCCCAGTAGCACACTCACACTATCACGCGCACAAACCAACAAACCAGTCAGGGTAACCAGAAAGCGTGGGTATTTTTTCCACCACCCACTCAATTCGAACCTCCCACCAGACCAGCCAGGTAGTCACTTCGCGCTCTTGTATGAATGGAGCTCAGCGCTTCCTTTACCGAGAAACTCGGTCTGTCGGTAAGGTTTACGGGATAATTCAATATCGACACCTTTTTATATTATTCATGAAAATCAAATTTCGGTGAGATTCGATTTTTCCACCTCGACCTCCGGCTCAAATCACGCACACACGGACGCACTCGCACTCACTTCACTTATCACGCTTTTCCCTTTTTCGACTTCTTCCTTTCACGCCGCACTAAAACGTCACTCTCACTCTCGGTTTTCGCCGTTTTCCACCGTCTTTCCTTCTGCGATGGTTCACCTTTTCTTTTCCTAATTTTTTTTACTCAGCAATTTCCGTTCAAGGAAAACCACTTCCTTTTTCTTCCCCCGCAGAGACTGGATGGGTAGATGGATGGATGGATCCGGCCGTTGAGGAAAATCACGTTTTCTCCTTCAACTGCAGCGTGCGAGCGTCAAAACACAGTCAGTTGTTCGTCGAATTATGGCAATGCACTCACAGAAAAAAGAAAACTCGGAAAAACACAAACTTCCCACGGTTTTCCTCCTTTCAGGTATTTCTTGCGTTTCAAAACATTCGCACTATTAATATCACACTGGCGCTTGTTGTTGGCTCTGTTATTATTATCGTACTTCCACTTTATTTTTAAAGTTTCACGCTATTTATTCTCCACGCGTCGCGATATTATTGGAATATCGAGGAACGAAAATAAAACCCATCATCTTCATCCAACTTGGGGCTCGGCGACGGAACGACAAGAAGAGAGCAGCACAGGTTTTCCTCTGATGGATGGATTTTCCTCAGCCACGGTCAGTCAGTCAGTCAGTCCTTCTCCGATGGATCGTGGATCTCGTGTGACTGTGAGTGTAGTGTGTCGATATCCGCTCGCACTCGACGGCTGTCTGACCTTACATTATCGGACGCGAACGACGAATGGGCTGCATATGGGCTGACGACGACGGACCGTGTCTCGAGACGAGCAGGAGCCGAACACGACCCGATTCGGTCGCACAAACACAGCCCTGCTTGTGCTAGAGGAGAAGTAGTGGGCTGTTGCGGGAGGGCGGCTGCTGGGCGATCGTAGAATGAGAGAGAGGGAGAGAGGGAGAGAGCAAGAGAGTCGACGGTGCTTTTCCTGATGACGACAGCAACGACGACGATGATGGTGGCGGCATTTTCCCCTGCTGAGTTGAGTACAACCAACCTACCACCACCACTACCAACACAATTCAGCGCGATCGGGTTGGAAAAGGAACCGTCAGGGCGGTGTGGGGGGTTGAGATGGAAATGTGGTGGCATTTTTCCATCCAAGCACGGTCATTCAGACCGACTCAATTTCGTCAAAAATGAGTTGAATTCTCCGAACTTTTCCAGGTAAAACTTCTCGAATATGACGAATAGTGTCTAAATCTCAGTCTATTCGTATACAGTAACCACTACTGTGCACCCACCGCTATTTCTCGGCTGTCCTTCAAGGACTGAAGCTGATTTTCTGTACATATCTAGTTCAAAAATCATTGTAATTGGTCCAAACTGATGAACAACGATGGGTGGACAGTACCACCCACCGCATATATGTGGTGTACTCCTAGACTAAGTAAAATGTTCATGGATTTTCCTCGAGAAGTTTGGTACTTTTGCCGAAATTGAGTCGACTCAATTTTGAGCCGATCTGAACGGCCGTGCGGTAGCAAAGCAATGGCTGAAAAGCACATGCGACGAAAAGGAAGAGAAAAAAAAACATCTGACTAACGGTGTGCGAGACGCAGGAAGGTGTTTTTGTGGCGTGGAGGTGAGTGGAAAGAGCTTTGAACGGCCGGTACAGGGTTGCCGGTTTACTTTTTTTTTCGTCAATTGGAATGGAAATAATATTCCATATAGATTTTAATTGAGAATCACCTGGTTGATGTGAGACAGACAATTGAGACTAAATTTCAGAACTGAATTAGAAAAGAGTGGTCTACGTTTCAAAGTATGGGACCCTTATGCTTTGTTAACAAAGTCCTGGCGGTTTAAAAGATGAGCCCTGACCACCGTTTGGTTATGATGCATTCCATTAAGGTTTTTCACTGTGAGATCTTTATTCTCATAACCACTTCGATACTTTAAGTGCACAAATATCAGCTCGTACGAAACGTACACCATTAAAACTGTTACTTCGCGTTTGCTGATCTGCAGCATACATGAAGAAGAAATTTCTGGTGATTGATTGATTGATTTATCTTTATTAAGAAGGCTTTTAGCCTGAGGCTGGTTCGCCTCCATATTTTCTGGTGAAATGGAGTACATACTGATTTAAAAGATTTGTGTAATTGAAAATTCGTAGTCGAACTGCATGTATATCCTACGTGGTGGCCATTTGTGGACTCCACACCTTCACCCATGAACGCCCAGTGATCTATTTATAGAGGGGGGAATACAATTTGATTTTCCAAAAAAAATGCATTTTTTTTGGCTTGAAATGTCCCTTGGGATGTATACTTTAATTTAGAAAAGACTCCAAGTCCGCCAGAATATTCCTTACCGCTTTACGAAGCGATTTCCTAAAACATGTACCGGCGTATCTCGAAACGGGGTTTTCCAAACTGGCGTGGGAAATAAATCTAACCAGTTATCATCAAATTTGGATATCGCCTAAGTTTTCTTGTTCAGAATTAAATTCGGCTTAGAAATACGTATCCACATTTTCGATTTTGTCAAAAATGGATTTTTAATCCACGATTTTGTAAGCATTTTTAGGGTGAAAAAATTGACTTTTTTTTTCCTAAGGCCACAACTTTTGAAAAAATTAATTTAAAAAAAATCGGAATACGTATTTCCAACCCAAATTTCATTACTAACCAGGATTTTTGTTCGATTTATGTTCCAGGATCACATGGAAAGGAGTATTTTCCTACGCCGTTTTCCGACTTCCGAGCGAGGACGCCCGCGCGACCTGGTGCACCGGCCACGGGGAGACGCCAATCGAGTTCAAAAAAATACAAATTGTAGTTCGAAGGATGACTAATAAATGGGTTATAACATATTTGCCCTCCCTGAGTGTTTTATTGCTTAAAAAAATTAACGAAAATGCCTTACTTTTTGGACGTTCAAAGTGTACTACCCCCTTATTGTCGAGAAACTAGATCTCAAAAGCTATACATGTCTTCTACAATATTATTCTATGGACCAATCTCTTGAAAATTGTAAACTTTTTAGTTCGCAAATCACTCACTAGGTGGTGTTAGTGTTTGCAGAAAACTTCTTAACTTTTTATCAACTTTTATAGAATAAAGTTCTCGTAATATGTGTTCGATCGAAGCATGCGGTCTTAGGCAATGTTGTTTAGAAAACGAAGGTCAACACTACTGTGTTCAGAATTCTGAAATTTGTGAACATGCAATATCTCATGATCCAGCCTATAAACAAAGTTGCTGTTTTCAGCAATGTTGTTCAGGAGAACAAGACCTTTTGAATCGTTGACAGCTTAGTTCGGAATTTTCTCACTAGGTTTCACTAGTGTCCTTATAAATTTAATGAACATCTCGAGATCGTTGCTAGATACACAGTTTCTGTTTTCGGCAATGTTGTTCAGGAGGCTAAAACTTTTTGAATCGTGGACAGCTTAGCTCGGAATTCTCTCGCTAGGTGGCACTAGAATTCTTATAAGCTTGGTGTACATACAGGGTCGACATCTCGAGATTCCTGCTAGATGCAAAATTGTTGTTTACTGCAATGGTGTTCGGGAAGCACAAACCTTTTGAATTGTGGACAGTTTAGTTCGGAATTCTCTTGCTAGGTGGCATAAATGTTCTTATAAATTTCGTGTAAATGCTGGGTCAACATCTCGAGATCTTTGGTATACACAAAGTTGCTGTTAGCTGCAATGTTGTTCATGAGGCTAAGACATCTTGAATTTGAAAGTTTAGTTCGGAATCCTCTCACTAAGTGGCACTAGTGTTCTTATTAATGTCATGTAAATGCTGGGTCGATATCTTGGGATATTTGCTATATACAAAGTTGATGTTTCCTGTATTGTTCTTCAGGAGGCCAAGACCTTTTGAATTGAGGACAGCTCAGGTCGGAGTTCTCTCACTAGGCGACACTAGTATTCTTATAAACTTTGTGTGCATGCAGGTTCGATATCTCGAGATCCCTGCTAGATACAAAATTGCTATTTTCTGTAATGTTGTTCAGGAGGTCTTAACTTTTTGAATTGTGAAAAATTAAGGTTGGAATCCTCTCGTTAGGTGGCCCTAGTATTCTTATAAATTTCGTGTAAACGGGGTCAACATCTGCTAACTAAAAAGTTGCTGTTTTCTGCAATTATGTTCAAAAGCAACAATTTTTTGAATTGTGAACAGTTTGGTTCGGAATTATCGCACTAGGGGGCACTAGTGATTTTATAAATTTTAAGATTTTTAACAATATCTCTACTTTTAGCGGCGTCGGTGGTGTAGTGGTAAGTGTGATTGCCTCTCACCCCAAAAGGCCTGGGTTCAATCCCAGTCGGTGCCGCCAGGATTTTCAGAAGCATAAAATCTCTGATCACGCCTTCCTTTGGAAGGGAAGTAAAGCCGTTGGTCCCCGGTCCATGAGTTGATGGGTCAATAGATACCAGAGCAGGAGAAAATAAATTACGAATACAAATTCAGGTACGATAGATAAGTGCATAGCTGGCAACCTAAATATGGAATCGATGAGCCCAATATGAGAGGTAAAATACTAAAAATAATACCACAAAAATGTTCTATGAATAACGAACTAATATCTTATTTCGTTACTACAATAACTGATGGATAACAAATGCTTTTTGTGATGCCAGAATACCATAATTTGTTATTTGAATTGTCTTCTAATACCAATCCAATAATTATATTGTGTCATACCTAATTGAGATAGCCATATGTTTTCGGTTCTTGCTCGGGTCCGGGTGTGAAAAGAATATCGTTGCAGTTTAATTCTTTTTTTCAGAAAGATCGAAAGAAGTTTTGAGAAGTTTCCACTACTCATGAAGTCCAGAGAACTTCAGAGAAGATAAGAAAACGTCAGAAAAATTTCAGGAATTTCCCAGAATTTCAGGGAACTTAAAGGAAAAACAGTATCAACAACTTCAGGAGAATCGCAAGAACTACACAGAAATTCCCTGAACATCAGGGAAAATTAGAGAAACTCAGAGCAATTCTGTTTAAAGAACTTAAGATTGGTTGAGACGTTTTGATATTTTCAAGGAAGTTCTATACATTTCAGGGTGTTCAATCCCACAAAAAATGTCCGGAACTTCAGCAAAACTCCATGAACATTTGCGAAAATGAGGAGGCTGTCCTATTAACTTTAAGAAAACTGTGGGATCTTTTAAGAAATACTGAAGACTTCAGGGAAATCTAAAGAATTACAGGGAACTTCAAAGAATGCCAAGAACTTCCCTGTATGGGAAGCAAGAAAATTTTACGAAGTTTTAGAGACCTTTATGAAAGTTACATGAACTTCCGAGAACTTTAGGAAAATTAGGAGATCTTAAGGGCCGATTTATGAACACATGGAAAATTGTGGAAATTCTAGCGGAGGGAAAGTTTTTTGAACTTCAGGAAAACTTTACAGAACTTTTGGAATTTTTCTTAATATTCTCATGTGATGTGATGTGATGAGTCACGTGAGAATTTTGCAACAATAGATTCAGCTGTCACTATGCCGCAACGTATCACTAGCGGCTGCAGTGTGCGTGAGCCGTAACGCCCTTTGTCGTTTCACATTTATATACTAAGACAATGAAACGAGCATGGCGGGTTAGATCAATGATAAGAGGATTTGGATTATCAAGGTAAGGGTCTGGCCAAAGTTGGTGAATTTATGTTACATCTCAGATATCGATAGCCAACAATACAAATTGATTGCATTTTATGATTGACAATCTTAGTATTTTAATAGTTAGTATTTTTGGCGAGTTGATGGTGAGCAGA